AGGGAATAGAAAATTATTTTTAAAATGAGATAAAAGTTATACTTGAAGTTTGAATTCAAGTGAATGATTTGGCAAGAATTGGGGCTCTTAGCTTCAAACAATTCTTGTTAGCAGGAGGTCTTCGTAAAGAGTTTTATTATTTGTCTTGAGGTAAATTGTGGTCAGTGAGGTTAACAGATTCTGGCTAGAAAACCAAAAGGAACAAATTTTGAAATATGGCATTAGAATTATAGAGGTATGAGAACTAGTATACACACAAAAATATGGATCTGCATCTCGAGCGTGTCCCACCAAAACTGCGGTCGAATATACTCGTATATCATCATTATTAAACTATCACCCAAGCCCAATTGGGATTAATTATGCTCAAACTTATTTTACATTTGAAGATAACGAAGTATTTGTAATTACCTTTTAATTCAATAAATTCTTGTTCATGGGTAGTTTATGCTATGTTCTTCTGATGAGTCACGTAGTTAAATTACCAAGGTTTCTAATTTGTATTTGGGGGTCAGGGGAGGATTAGGGGAAATGGGAGCTATATAGCAATGCTTGTTAAAAAAAACAGTAGAGGAATGAGGACCAAACTTTCTAGACATGATACAGATGGAATTGGCTTCAACTTGTTTGTAATCTGGTGCTAATTTTAACAATTTGTTTCAAAGATTTTTGAAAAGAGAGGCAGAGGTTGGGATAAAGAACTGAGAAAGTTTTTCTCAGGAGGCAGTTGGAGTAAAACATTTAAAATTTGTCAACAGAATACTACTTGTGGAAAGCTGTGTGACTATTCATTTATGAGTGCAAGTAGAGGTAGCTTTATTAAGCTACATTATGGGTTGGGGGGAAGTAATTCTTTTTACTGTAATCTAAAAAAATCCATTTCTAGTGTAGATGGTAGCAAGCACCAAGGAGCTAGTAGTAATAATCTGGACATTTGCTCATATATTCGAAATGTAAATGAGCATATTCTGGATTTACTTCACATTATATGAGAAGTATTAAGTTATATCTGCATATTAATGTGAGCTGATGGTTGAATAAAATCGAGAACTGCTATATTTCAGCTTGTCTGCTTTAGTTGTAATACCTGTATTTATTTGCTATCTGGAGTCAAGAATTCTTTGAGGGGCTAACCTATTCACTAAAAATAAGGTATTCTTGATAATAATAGGCTAATACCTAAAAAGCAAAATTCATATTATTTGAAATGGAATGATGATAGGCCTAAATCCAACCTCATCAAACAAAAACAAAGGAATGTATTGGGGGTGAGGTAAGCCAACTCTGTTTATACAGGTTTCACATGACTTTTCTTTTAAAAAGTGCATGGAATGCATCCAAAACAAATAATGTTTTGTTCGATGAGAAGACCAAAAGGAAAATCCTAGAGAAAGGAGGATGGATGATCTTTCTTTAATGTCAAAACTGACATAAACACATTCCCCTTCCCCTACCCTTTTGCTTAAGATAATTTTCCCAACAAGACGCAGATTGCTTCAGTCTTTGCCTATCACCCTTTGAAGCATTTTCCTTATTATTAGGAGTGGGGGGCAGAATTTCTTTTGAGGTTTTCTACAGCAGTGAATAGTTCCTCCTTTAAATACTTTCACATGATGAGGGAATTCTGTTTTCAAAGCACTGTCATCACTGTAGCTTCTCTACCAAGACAATTTATTTCTGGGGTGAAGGTCCTTCTTAGTTTGATTGTCATTAAGGATTCATTACCTTTTCTGATGGACTTTCTGTCTAAAGAGTTCAGTTTTTCTGAGAGACCAACAAAGAAATTCAGCATTCTCCTATGTTAACCTTATGGGTGAAGTTAGCCATGATTCTCTTTTGAAATTTGTTTTGTCACACGGGATTATAGTCTTCAACATGGTTTCTCTCCACTAATCAAGATAGGGTAACATATCTAATTTTGAAAACTGAATCTCTTCTGCAGTGCAAAGGAACACTTTAAGTTTTGGGGAGTTTTGAAATGTCTTTATTGATTTTTAATTTTTTTAGTTGTCTCTTCCAATGTTTACGTAATGTCATGGCAAACAACAAACTATGAAAGTGTCAACAGTTTCCCAGAAACATTGAAATCTTTTGAGAACCTCCACCCCATTTTACCTCACCTCATCCTGCTCTATTCTTGAATATAGTCTTTTGGAAATTCTGTAAATATTTAATTCTGGTAGAAATGTATAGTTGTATGATTTAACAGCTCATTTGAAAGCAGCCTTCCACTCCCTGCCAAATCTTTAGCAGGCGATGATTCACAATTCTTAGGAAAGAATTAGAATTAAGAAACTTCAAATATAATTGACAGTTTTCTCAATGTTACTACCTAAGGTTAAGTTTCTAAGTCTTTTGGTTGTTTTAGATAAATGAACTTAAAAAATTATATATGTCTCAAAGTAGATTACATCATTTACATTATTACTCTTGGACATTCCTTTTGAACAGTTTGGTCTTTGTATTAGCCCGTTTCTGTTGCTTAAAACAAAATACTTGAAACTGGGTGATTTATAATGAAAACAAAATTTATTGCTCACAATTTCTGAGGCTGGGAGGTCCAAAGTCCAGGGAACACATCTTATGAGAGGCTTGGTGGTGGTGACAGTGATGGCAGAGTATCACATTGTGAAAATGGTGGAGCACAGAGAGACTAACCTCCTCATTCACTCTCCTTTTAAAGCCCTCTGAACCATGCCCATAACCACCATTTTTAATCCATTCTCTATTGCATGGTTCCCAATCTAATCACCTCTTCAAGGCCCCACCTTTCAATTACCATAATAGAATTTCCCACCCTCAACAGTTACAGTGGGAATGAAGCTTCTAATATATGGACTTTGGAGGACACAATTCAGTCAACCCACAGTAGTCATTAGAAGGTAAGAAAATCATTATTGTTCAGGATACATTCATTGTCTGCTTCTGGCCCCTAAATGCAACAGTGCAACTCTTAACTAATCCAGATAGGACAGTCAACGTATTTCCTAAAACCTGCAACCTCCTTCCTGCTAGAGTGTTCAAATGAAAGGCCTCCACTCTTATTGAGGAAGAAAGTGGAACATAAGAGAGTCCTAATATCAAAATACCCAGATTCTAGGTTTGACTCTGCTACTTATTGCCTGTGTAACCTTGGCAGGTAACATATCCTTCTGCTTTTTCCCCCCAAAACCCTATAAATAAGTGATCTAGATGATCTTCATGTTTCTACCATGCTAAATATGTAATAAGGCTACTTTTCCACCTGCATAGGCTTAATTACAGAATTACAGTGATTGAGCCAAGTTGGATACTACAGTCAGAAATTAACATTGATATTTCTTGTCTAGTATATAAAAAAAGGAGTATGATTATATTTTTTCTCTTTCTTGTAGGACTCTGATGAGTTGTAATTATTCATCCCACTTGCTTATTTAAGACTAACTGTAAACCAGCTTAATAAACACATTTGAACTGTGTCTTTGTGCTGGACACCATAGGCAGTGAGAATGAGTACTCAGTGATTTTAGACTGTGGCTTCAAGATGCTTACCACCTAGTCAGGGAGAAAAGCATGAAAACAAATAAATAACAAATCCAGTGTGATAAACAGAGCAAGATAAATACATATAAGATGCAGAGGTAGCATAGAAAAAAATATATACACACACATATATATTTCTCCATACCTATTTTGAACTAGAAATAGGAAAATGTGTGTGTGTTGGAAGGAAGGTAGCTTTATGGTAAATTTTAAAAGAACCACAAAAATCCTCCTAAATCTCTTTACCTGTTTACTACTGAACCAAGTATGTCCTCTCATAATATTAGTTGCCTTAAACTGCAGTCAAATGAGTTATGCCATGGAAGGTTAAAAAGAAAATACAGAATGTTTTCTCTTTTCATGGATAAATGACTTTATTTTTCAATGCCCTCAAATATCTCCATTAAACCTGTCTTTACTAGCAGTTGACATTTCTATCATTTAACAAAGAAGAACAGCTAAATGTGTCAAGTAATCATTGTAAACCAAATACTACAGCCTAGAATATATTTAAGTTATCTTTAGAATTTAGAAAATATGGAGGAATGAGTTTTTTTAAGAATGCTAGTGTGTGTCTCAGCATAATTAATTTTTGTGAAATGTTATAGTCTAGAAGGTTAAGGTTTTCCTGATGATTTGCAGCAATCTTTAGCTTAAATCAAAGAATTGGAAAGTGTTTAAACTCCTGGTGTTAAATCTAGCACTGGCTATGAAAGCTATACTCTTACTTGGGGGATGGAGGAGCTTGGGGAACTTTCTTATAAAAACTCGGCCTGCAGTAATTTGTTTTGTTTGAAACTGGAAATCATATTGTTGAAGCTTGCATTCTGTTTTCTTTCAATAGGTGTATTAATACAAAGCACAGTGTTTTGAAAGGGCTTCCTCCTTTCTGCAGGAATAAATTTGGCTTGTGAAAAAGAATAAAAATCGAACTAGCAATTCAGCAACATCACATCTCTTTCATCATTTGGGGGATGCAGGCTTCAGTTTAGAAACTCTAGACATATTTTCAGGAAATGTAGAAACATGCCCATAAGTATTAAATATAAAACTTGACTGTACACTCAAAACATTTGTACAATCATATAGTCTAGAAGGTTACCATTGAGTGTCTTAAAATGTGCATATATTTTAAAAATCATTAGAATAAATTGAAAGCCGGAATGAGATACTCTTTGAGAGAAGGTGCTATCTAGAGATGCCTGAGGAATGCTACTGTATAAATTTCTCCTATGAAGTGAACAAACCTCTTGCCCATAAAATAGATAGAAGCTATGATTTCCAGATACCTCCATCCCAGGAAATTAGATTAAGATGGAGACAACAGGAGATTCATATTTTTATTTTAATCATTTAAACTAAGTTCTGAAAAAGCATGCTTTCTAAAGAGGCATGGAAATGTTGAAAAGTTAACAACCAGACTAATTGATTGTGTTTTGGAAAACATTGTAATGGAAGATTTAAAGTGCTTCAGGGCCATGCCCAGTGACTCTGAAGATAAGAGAAAAAGTGGTGAGAGAGAGAGCTTTCTAAGTTCGGGGATGCCCTAGAAAACTACTGGATGGTCTAAGAATGTCTCATGAAACACAAAACCCTAATGCAACTATAATGTGGATGTGAGGAAAGGGTTATTCTTTTAAAAAATTGTACTTTTGCAAAATATATTATCCTTCAGCTTTTGACCATTTTGTTTTTCAGGTTGAAAAGTTATGCATATAGTAAGGATTTACATTATTTGCTTAGTATTTCTTTAAAATTGCATTCTAACTCAAGGCTATGTATCTCTCCTCTGTTCTGCTTCCTGTGCCTGCTCTGCCCCAGGTTGGCCTTCATTCCATGATGTGATCAGTTCTGAGGCAATCACATTTACAGATGACTTTTCCTATGGGATGCACAGGGTGGAAACAAGCTGCTCTCAGGTCAGTTAACCCCACCTGAAAACCCAATATGCTGCTCACTTTGCATTGCAAAGCCTTTCAAGATTCCTGATTATGCTAAAACTAAGTCCAAGTGACTGGTCACAAGAGGAACAGACAAGCACAATGAAGTCTAGATAAAAGTCTGAATTTCAGTTAACCCCACCTGAAAACCCAATATGCTGCTCACTTTGCATTGCAAAGCCTTTCAAGACTCCTGATTATGCTAAAACTAAGTCCAAGTGACTGGTCACAAGAGGAACAGACAAGCACAGTGAAGTCTAGATAAAAGTCTGAATCTCTAGATAAAAGTCTGAATTGTATCTCAGTCTTCAGGTGTTTAGTAAGTTTAATGATGTGTAAGTCCTTGGCTTCAGCACTATTAAATAAAATCATTTATAGAAAAAAAATCTTTAATTGACACCATATAGTGGGGAGTGGGCTATTGTTGGGGCATATGAAGATTTCATTATGTTATCTTACACAACCTGGTTTTTTGATAATCCCCCTCTCCTTCCAATTCTGTGCACCCACTATTCAGTCATAATGCCTCTAACTCTAATGGCAGTGATGTAAACACAGTCAATGAAAACTCCAGGCTTTTCTTGGGTGGGTATGAGAAGGGAGGTTAAAGAGAGGCTGTAGGTAGTGGTGGGCTATATGAGGACAGAGTGAGAATGTGAGTTGAGGTCGTTCCTCCTCTGCTTCTCCTAGTATATCTCATTTCCAAGGATGTTCTAATTAGTTCTGCCCATTCTGCTCTAACCAAATTAATGCTGGCTCTGAGGAAGAAAATGAGCATGTGTTGAGGAGGAGGAAAAAATAGTTATCTGTCTACCTCAATCAAGAGACTTGAACTTGTGGGTATCTTGTGCTTAAACCCAGAGACATAGCTAGAACCTCCTTGGACACAGAATAAGAGCAACTACGTATTCTGTAGTAGGTAGTCCTGTTCTTCTAATCTGCTTTAATTAAGTTAAATGTAGAGTCTGAGTACTATGGCATCGAAATTCATTGATACTACAGAGTATTTTCTTGAGGGGGTGTCTTGCGCATATAAGGTAAAGGGGCACAATCAAGCAGCTGTAATAGCAAAGTGATTGTCATGTGGGCCACCCTCAGCATTCTTCTGCCTGCCCTTTTTCCATTTTTCTTTAACCCTCTTCATCACGCACAAGATTTTTAGGGAGTAGGTGGCATATTTACTACCAAGTTTTTTCTTTTTTAAGCTGCCTTAAAGGCTGCTATATGACTACTACTCTCCTTTTCACTTATCATCCATTTTCAAACATTGAGTCCTATGAAAACTAAATTTAAAAGGCACAGAAAAAGTGAGGCATAAAGTGAGACATTAGATACCAGCTTTTCTTAAAGCCCGACTCTCTGATTTCTTTGTGACTAATTCTTATAATTAACAGTTGGAATAAACGTCCTCCTTTCTTTATGCCAGCCAGAGAGATAACATCAGAACTCAAGTAGAGATCATTATGAAAGTGCCCTACAGTGACCAAAGAGAAATGAAACCCATAAATGATGCCAAAATTAGGCAATATTCATAAAAGATGTCAAGCTAAACCAAGCATAGCTCTTGGCCCTTTGGACAAGGTGACTAACTATTACCACTCTTTGGGTCTTTTGCTAACAGTTGTGTGAAGAACTAACACCGACTTGTTCCATTTTGGCTTCTTTACCCACCACCTTCACTTCTCATATTTAGAAACCCTTTGACCCTTTCTTAAACAAATATCTTAAATTTAAAGAGAAGAGGGAGAGAAATTTGTTCCACTAAGACATGGATTAAAATACATGCTTTGCAAAGTAAGTTCTGTGTGGGAGATAATCAGGGTCCAGAGTGATACATATGCTGGACTTCTCTACCATGTAGCCAGAGTGGGGGATGTCTGCCACCTAAGTATGACACTAGCACACTAAATTAAAGTGTGCTGGGTATCTTTCGTTTCAGTTTCTTTGTCATTTCATTTGTGTATTTTACATATATGCTTATTTTCCTTTTGTTTTATGATTTTCTTTAGTTTTTTCTTTTCCTTTTTATCAGGCATCCTTTTTACCTTGACTTCAACAAAAATAACTGATTTAGTGGATGCCATACTAGAGCAGTCACTTGTGCTTTACTTCCTCATATCTCATTCTTATCACTATTTTCATTATCAGTTTATCTTCTTTACCTTATGTTTTTTCAGTTTATGTAGTCTCTTCTCACAATTTCTCCCTTATTGTTTGTTTGTTTGTTTTTAGGATTGTTTGTTTTTAATGGTGAGATGCTGTGGGAAACTTTTCTAGTTTGCTTTTCCTCTTTCTAAAATTTTTGTATTTTGAATTCACATGGCTTGTCTTTTCTCTGGACTGAATTATATCAATGTGGTTTGTGTTACGAAGAATCTATTAGATACATTTATTATCTCGTAGACATTTTCAGTTGGATATATTATGTGGAGTACTTCTTTCCTTGTGGTAAAGATGGAATATCTAAATATGAAGACCCTTTTACTGCCCAGTTCTGCAAATAAACTGAGCTTCCGTGAACAAAACCAATAGACTCAACCCGCTTGCCTGGCAATATGGCAATATTTCACTAGTCTATTGGTCCCTAATTCTTGCTTTAGTAATTAGGATTCTTTTTTTTTTTTTTTTTTCCTTTTTAATTGTGGTGGGCATCAGACCATGAATGCAATGAATTGGGCCTCATATTTGTGTAGAAATTGTAATCTACTCCCTCTACATGGTACGCTGTAGTTTTTCCATGTGTCCAGTGACTTCTCAGGTAATAATGTTTTTAGTAAAGTTTTATTGAGAGAGTTAAGATCAGTTCAGTCTTCTTGCCACTTTCCTGAGAAGTGTTGCAGTCAGTTTCTTCTAAAAGAATTGTTGTATGAGAAACCTAGCATGCTGCCTGGTCTTTGAGTTGTAACACAGAAAATAAGCAAGGGTGGTACCCTCATTATGGTTGCTGCTTGTGGATGAAATAGGTTACCCTGCTGCATTCTGGTTTTTGTGGCAATCTTATTTGCTTTCTTTCACTATTCTACCTACTGAATTGAGTAATTACATTCCAGGTATCTCTTCCAAAGAAGATTTAACTTGAATTTGCCTGCTCTGGTGGGCACATGTATCTTCCCTCTGGCTGCAGCCATTCCGTAACAATTTTCAGTTATAAAGAATTTTTCCTTAATTTTATTTAATTTATATTTCAGCTAGTGATAAAATATATTGCTTCTATTCCAGTTTAGCTGACTACTGTGAATAATTGTTTGACGGCTTTTCCTTAATCCTCCAACCCCAGCCCGTTAAGCAACACTTTGTCAGGAGTTTAAATTCAGGAATTATGGTTTTAAGGAATTATGTTAAATTTGATGTTCAATTACTTTTTTTTAAGGGGGGGTCCTTTCTCTTGGTTCTCTGCAGGTTCTTTAGTTGCCAACTTTTCTGAATGGGAGGCTTAGGTGATAAAGGATTCCTGTGGGAATTTAAAATTTTTCTTTTAAACAATTACCTCATACTTCTTCAAAAGGAGGACTAGAATATTCAGGTATAGTTTGCATTTACTTATAAAATACATTATCATTAAAAACAACTTTCAAAATGCACACCAAAGATTCTATTCTGAAATAAATCATTAACAGCAGATTTCAGAGATTTCTTCTTTGGGAAATCAGTTTGTTTCAGTTATAACCAGGTGTGCTGAGAGATCCCAACACAGTGCCAGTTGGCTTGGGCCAGGCAGGCGGAGCTCGCAGGCAGCTAAAGAAACAATGCATCACTGACAACTTCCACTCATCATCCCAGCTTTAAGCCAGGCCTAGAAGCTGGAAAGAATGGGCTCCACGTGTGTTCCTGTCAGGGAGGAGCCTTCAGGGCCTATGCACTTTTAAGAGAAACTGGGTAAAAGTCATTTATGGGAGATGAGGCATACCTGGGAGGAAGCACTAAGCACTGTGGGGTTAGTCTTCCCTCAAAAATGGCCTTGCCATTTTGCAGGCAGTGAGGTGGCGTGCTTTTGGTGGCCCTGATATAAATGAATACCTTTCTGTTTTGAAATGTTGCATCTTCCAGAACACCTTGTGGCAAGCATAATGAATTCCATCACTATCATTTTTAGGGGACTCACACCTTTTCAGAGGCTTTCCCTACACTATCCCAAACCCATATATTTGTTTCCAAATGATTTTTGTTGCCTTTTCCTAACTACAGTTCTCTTCCTCTTCTCCCATTTTATTTTGCCTGGATTAGAGACACATCTAGAATCTGTGTTTTCCTTTCTGTTTAACCAGAAGACTAGTTCCAGATTAGCAAATGAAGCTACAGATTGAAAACCAACTCAGTTCAACAGATTAAATTCCTGTAATCTGGATTTTTTAAAAAATTATTTGGGAAATGAAGACCGTATAACTTAATCCCAAATGCTTCAAGTATAGCCTTATTATGCTTTATTTTTGGAGTAATGTTGGTAGAACAGTTTTCTAAATATGCCCAAGTGATTAATAAGGGTAATATTTACTCATTCACACACACACACACACACACACACCCTAAGGCTTTTATGTGCAAACTTCACTTCTCAGATGCCAAGTGATTAAACTGCCGGAGCAGCGTGTGAGATCAATAATTGTGCACACACCCTGGTCACCGAGAGCACAAGTTTGTGTTAGCCTGCATCCTGTTTTGGCAGGCAGAAATGGGTATTTTCCTGTGTCTGTTGGGTAAGCATGTGTATTTTTACTGGTGCATCTTAGCTGCTGATGCGTGAAAATTTGGCCTTGGTTGTTTATAGAAAGGAAAAGCAATCTGAGCTGTCAGCCTTGATATTACCTAAAACTGCATAGAATGTGGTAAAATAATGCAAGATTTGTTTTTTTAGGCCTGTTTCATATTTTCCAGGCAATAGATCAAATCAGTTCGGGGTTCATTTTTAGTTCTTTAATAAGCTCTCACAGTATGTTGGCAGTAAAATAAGAATGCACTTTTAACATGGAAGTGCCATATAGTCAAAGTTGCTATTTGTGCTATTTATTAATAACTAGGGAATCCTTGAGAATTGAATTTAACACTTTCAACTGGAAAACTGAGATTCTAGTTCTACCCATTGTAATGAGCACCCTCCCTCATTTCTCTCTTCATCTCTATTTGATATCTTAGCCCCAGCTCCTTGTCAATTCATACTCTCTTTCCCTGAAATTTGTTTCATATATAGAACAGTGTGAAGAATTAATTAATAATTCATCTGTATGCTTTTTCTATCATGTTCTTATCTAAATCTTGACTTTTCCCTCTCCTTGAAATGCTCTCCCCTAGATATTTACTTCCTTCAGGTCCTTATTCCAAAGTCACCCCAGGGAAGCCTCCCCTGACCACCCTACTTAAAATGTCGACTCCCAACCCTGACATTTCATATCACCTCCTCCCAGTTTTTTTCCTCTTTAGCACTGATTTCTATCTACTATGCTTTATGGTTCACTTATTTTCCTGGGTATTGTCTGTCTCTTCCACTAGAACGTAAGCTCTATGAGGCCAGGGATGTGGCCTGTATCTCCAGATCTAGGACAGTGCCTGTCATATAGCAGGCACTCCATAAATATCTGTCAAATGAATGAATAGAAGTCATTTACCCGAGGCTTTGGTTTCCTTGTTACATGATGAATGAAGTGTTTTCATAGCCTGTTTGAATGTGGTACACTGTCTCCATCTCCTTCACCCCTGTCCCTGCTGAGAAAGGGTGGGTGATATGTAAGTGTGACATATGCTGGGCATCTCCTGGAGCCACACCTACCATTGAAGCAGGGAGTGCAGGGCTTTATTCAGTCAGGCAGCCTTTTTGGAGAAACTTTCTCTGGGCTTGATTTCTCTTAAGCACCATCATAACCAACCATTCCTCCTTCTGCCTCTTTCTGAACTTTAGGACTCTTCTCCTCCAGCTTTTTGGATAGTCAGTAGCATTGATTTTAGCTAAACAACTTATCCCTTCTCCACATATGATAGCTCATGTGGGTAAAGAAGCCAGCATGACACTCCACCTACTAGAAGCCAGGAGAAAAGGATTGTGTGGGTTAGAGACATTTCCATTTGCTACACTCGCAGCCCTGGTGACCGTGACATAAATTGAGCCTTGCCATTGCTCCGCTGGGTTCCAAGAACATCCAATGCTTGTCTGATGTTAAGTTTTACTGCCCATGAAAGCAAACATCACCTCCGTCATGGCCAGTTAAACAGTATCTTTTACAGTGGACTTCTGCATATCTGAAACCCACCCATCCAAAACCAAAAGTAATACTGAGGGGAGAGATTTTATTCTGCCGTGTTTCTTACAAGGGGAGATCAAGGGTCAGCTCAATTCATAAAATTATTGCAGTCATTTTTCAGCTGGCTGAGAGACTCCATATCTGAAACCCACCCATCCAAAACCAAAAGTAATACTGAGGGGAGAGATTTTATTCTGCTGTGTTTCTTACAAGGGGAGATCAAGGGTCAGCTCAATTCATAAAATTATTGCAGTCATTTTTCAGCTGGCTGAGAGACTTCACAGATCAAAAAATAAAGTGGCTCCTAAATGATTTCTGATATGCATAATTCTAGTGTTTTTTATCCTCTGCATGTGGCGTAAGGCCTGCCAGAAACCATCTTTGCAGCTATTGACAGGCGGATTAGAAATCATCCATGATAGTTTCCCTCCTTTCTCATCCATTTAAACTGCTGAATGTGAGTTCCTCTCAAGGTCTGGTTTGTCCACACTTTCCCTTACATTTTGTTCTTCTCTTTCAGTGTGGTGCTCACCTTGGGCACATTTTTGATGACGGACCTCGTCCAACTGGCAAAAGATACTGCATAAATTCTGCTTCCTTGTCTTTCACACCTGCAGATAGCAGCGGCACCGAAGAAGGTAGCGGGGCCGGCAGCCCAGCCCAGGCAGACAGAGCGGAGCTGTAGAGTAATGGAGAGTGAAGGAAACAAAGTGTACTTAATGCACAGCTTATTAAAAAAATTAAAATTGTCTATCTTAATAGATATATTTTTTCAAAAACTATAAGAGCAGTTTTGTGCTATTGATGTTTTTCTTCTTTTGCTTAAACAGAGGCTCTGGCCATCAATGTATTTTGCCGTTGACTAGCTCCAGAACTGTTTATAGCTTTAGCAAATGGAGATAGCTTTGTGAAACTCCTTCACAAGCCCTTATGTACCCTTTGGCATTATTTTCTTTGAGCACATAACTTCTTTTGTGCTTTCTACCCACTTGCTTGGTCTTCAAACATGAAAATAGAGATATCTATGCAATGTAGACACCAGGGCTTGGAATTGCAGGGCGTCGAGACCTGGTAGACATATGGCCTTAAGGCACCTGTACCTGCAGTAAAGGTGGAGTGATGTCTTATGAGACTTCTCAGCTTGATGGAAAGTTTGAGCTAAGGTTGTTTTTTCTCACTAAAAGGGTGTGAAGGTCTAAAGTCTTTCCTTATGTTAAATTGTTGCCAGATCTGAGGGAGCGCACCACGTGTTGTGGCAGAGAAGTAAACATTACCTCATGATTAGGCCTTTATTTTACTTTATTTTATTTTCCATTGAAAACAGTGGAAAGTAAGACAACTGTAAAATGTAGAGCCCCATTTTGTCCAAAGTTCACAAAAAAGATATAAGTCCTTCTCTCCACACCTAACACCATCTGCAGCTGGATGGGAATTTTGGTAAAGTTCGTTGTGTAAAATAAAATATTGTGGACAACACACTTCATCAAGGCAGTGGAAATGAGAGAGCAAAGAAGACCAAGGATGAAGTCTCCGGTACTATAAACTCCAGTGCTGGGCAGAAAAGCTGACGGGATACTACAAGTAACAGAATCCGAAGCAGGGGACCTTGTGCACAAAGCATCACATGACCTCTGGAAAGATGTTGGGGATAAAAATACAAATAGCCGGGAGCTCAAGTTCCACACCTGACACTAATCTGCTTTGTGACAAGGGACAAGCCATTTAGCCTCTCTGTGCCTATTTCTTCATGTATAAACTGGGACTCATAATTTTTGTAAAATGTATTGACACTCAGGGCAAAATTACTATATTGCTATATAATTAAGATCAGTGTTGTAAAACTAAACTGATCTGTTTCTTATTGCCTCAAAGGCTGAAGCCCAGGTATTTGAAATGGAAAGAAGCAGAGAAGAGTTCAGCTTAGCTGATTGGTATGGAAACAGTTGGGCCAAGAGCCAGAAATTTTCCTTTGTAGCAACGTGGCTGGTTTTACTTTGAGAAGCTGTGCTCAGTTGCTTTATAACATTTAGTCTGGTGGAGTGGATGTCATTTTGCACAATAATGTTTCACAAGTATGAGCAATAGTGATATAAGATGATATTGCTGTAGCCAGGTGTGAAGGTACTGTGTGTGACTCATATATATTGTGTTTGTAACTTTGAATGCTAATCCTGAAATGTGGTTTTAAAAAATATTAGTTTGTTAAGTCTTTGAAAACTTATTAATACTAATGTCTTTTCTTGTAAGCACCAAGACAAAAATAAGAGGGCACTTGACAACTTTAAAGAAACAATGAAAAATTAGAACGGAACTTTGACAAATCAAAATGTCAGTGTACCATGTCTACATTCTTATGTGTCTCTACAGGCACCTCCAGTGAGGCCTTGACATCCTGGCAACTTTTCATTGTCATGTATGCTGCAACTTTGCAATTTGAGATAGTCACACTCTTATCTGGATGCTCAGATAAGAAGTTCTCTGAGCATCCAGATTTATCCTAGGCCCTGGGGTCACTCTGGAATTTACAGGCTTCAACCCCCTCTAGAAATAAGGTGTAAAACTGAAAACTAGAAAGGCCATCAGCATCCAGACCATCCCAGAAGTCTTTTCCAGCCTCACAGAGGGAACCCCAACATTTCCCAGTGATCCAAGGATCCCACTTGGGGGTGGCTAAAGAAATGGGCCTCTCAGGGCATTGTCACAACCGACAGTCCATCCTTCAGAGGCACATGCAGCACTTCACTACTGCTCCAGCTATGTGTGTTGGCCTCCCCCAGGGTCCATTGGATATGAGCCGCAGCGTTGGGGTAGATGAGGAAGATAAGTGAAGCGCTTCTTTACCCAGACACGCTGGATTGTCCTTGTTCCTTCATTTTTATTGTAAGATTTAACATTTCCCTCTGAAAACCCTCCTTTTCTAATCCTTAGTCTTTGTTTTAAGGAAAGCTACTTTTTCTTCTACCACATTTCCCAGCACCAACTTTAAGAAAAGTGCAACATCCATGAAAAAAAAAAAAAGGGGGTATATGCATGTGGTTTAATTCCAAATTGCTTTTGGGTTTAAGTGGTATCAAATTTCAGTATATTTCTGTCTTATGTTAAAGAAATATATTACTAAAACGTCAGTGAGCAATAATGTCAGCTGTCGAGCACTAGATTTATTTTTGCAGGATATGGAGTGCAATGAACTGAGTCAATATGGTGAGGTGTATGTGATCTGTGGAGTTACGCCATTTAACATAGGAAATGCACGGGACTTTCCCTCTCTGCACTCCAGCTCTTATTGTAGAATCAGAAGACGCAGGATTCTGCTGGCGTGCACACAGTGTGCCCATAAAGTCATGTGGAATGGACCTGAAGAAAGCAGCAGTGTCTGTTGTATTAGGGAACATTTCTATGTGTCTAAACTTTTCACTTCTGAGATGCATTTAAATTCTTAGTGAAAACGATGTAGCAATTTGAAAACCTCTCCACATTAATTGTGTTCAAAATGTCTTGCTTTAAATACAACAAATGATGAAGGGGATTATTGTTTGTTTTGAAGGTCAAGTATTATTTTTACCTTAGATAGCTTTGTAATAATTTTTCTCCAGACAGTTCAAAACTTTTGAAAAATGACATGAAACTTTCATTAAAAACTCTGTTCCTATGTTTATTGTATACAGAAATTATGCAATAAAATTTCTTTATAAAAATGTTTTCTTCTCTGATTCCTAAAGACTCCTCTTATTTTTAGCACAGATATATGGATTGTCCACTGGAGTTTGCAGTGCACTGCTCTGTTTACATCTTTACTCAGCTGGCATGTCTGTAGTTTGTACAGAGGGCCTTTTACTGATGGAGCCTTTGGAAGTTGGGGCTCGGACTGTAGGGTCAAGTCCAACTCTCTATACCTGAGGCCCAGGGAAAGGCCTTCAGGGATCCGAAACGTTGGAGGAAAGGGAAACATTTGTAGAATTATTCAGCCTTCGCTTCACCTCAACAAAATCTTCAGCAGCTTGTGCATTTTTTTACTTAGAATATGGACTTTGGGGAGTTCCATCATAGTAACTCTGTGAATAGAAATGTAGGAACAATTCCATGCTGATGCCTACGCTTCTGTTAAAAAATTTGACAGGAAACTTACACTATTGTCAGGTGTTGGTCTCTAGGAAAATGCGAGTTAGGAATTCCCCACTGCTCACAAATTAATTCACCTTTAAAAATCATATCTATGGGCCGGCCCGGTGGCGCACTGCTACAGTGCGCCGCTTGTGAGTGCGGCGGGGCTCCCGCCGAGGGGTCTGAGCCCTTTTATTCACCAGA